GGGATTAGCTTGGTCTATGTTCTTATCAACATCTTTTAGGTCATATGTATAAATATAATCACCTGGCTATCAGCTTAACTGCACGGTGCCACCACGCTATGTGAATTTAAGGCTGCATTCACAACCGAAGTTGATCCGCGGTCTAAAAGATCCGCGGATCAAATATGGCCGACCAACTTGAAAGCTTACCTCGTGATCCCCGCGGAGAATCTATTGAGTGTCTATTTGGGGATTATGCAGCAAGCTTTCAAGTGGGTCGGCCATATTTGATCCGCAGAACTGTTAGTCCGCGTATCAAGTTGTTCTGATTGCGCCCTTAACTACACGTCATTTTGGCCTGGATAAGCAAAAGATAGCCACAGTTTTCTGGACGACGAGAGAGCCAACATCAATTTGTATGCTGGTTGTAGGCTAAAGGTATACTGTACACGTTCTAGGCCAATTTATCCTGCAAAGCTATTTTGTTCCCAATTTAAACCTTAAAAATAAAAACCCTTCATAGAAAAGTACCAGATGTCGGTTTTTCCTTCTAAAATGTACAGGAAGACATGGACTTGTAAGTGACCCATAACACAAACAAAAGCACTGGGCTTGTTCTCAGCAAACATAGAACGTTTTATAACGTTACCATAACGTCTTTTATTGGTATATAAACGTTATGATAACGTTTTGTGTTTGCTGGGTTTATGCCTAGATTTAACACGCACTAAAATTCGGGGCATAAGTAACCTGTGCTATTTGGGACGAAGAAAGCCAAGATGTGTAGTTACTGAATTCACATAGTATTGTATGAGTACTGGGTGTAAAAGAGACAAAATACCAACATACCAACGTACTTCAGTCTTGCACCCCATTTCCATAGATTAGATCTACTTTAGATCGACCTAACTCCCTGGGGGTTCACGCTAAATAGCTGTCAGCCGGGCGGACACGAAAGTTAATTACCCCCTTACAGCTTGTAGTAGGCGGGACGGACATTTAAGTCGGATTATCTGAAAGTAATCTAGTGAGACTCCCCGCGGGGATAGATCGATCTAAAATCTATGGGAATAGAGCCTTGGGAGCTTAACCCGCTTCAGCAAAAGGAGACAAATGACAAACCAACCCCTCCACTTCCTTTGCAACAATCTCGAACCACCAGTGTATTTTAAGTCCCTTCTACTGCTGTGTACTGCAAATATTGTTTATTGAGAACTGAATTTTTACTGGAACCCTTATCTTTACCACCGCCATATATTTGCACTGGATTGCCAATAACATGTTGTTTCGACAATAAACTGTTATATCTGGTCTTGTTATGACTTTTCTGAAAACAATAATACACAGTAGTGTGTGCTGGTGCTACGTGAATGATTCAAGAGTACAGAAAGTGAATGTTTCGTTTCACGAATAAGCTAGTATTGTGACTTATTAGATCCAGACTTAGACGTCTACGGCTTCTAAACGTTGCGTTTCGAATATTTGAACTCAATAAGGTTTATAAGAAGAGTGCAAGCACAGAGATGTATTCCAAACGGATGTGGTGAAGAAGTCTGAAATTTATCCAAAAAGATAAATCACTGGAGAACTCTTTCTGTTGCAATACTTTGAATGAATGAGTGAATAATTGGCTGAGATGAAGCCGACAATTTATAAGGGAAATGTATTGAGTATGTGAACATGGAATTCATCTTATATCTTGTGATATTCAGCTAACGTTTCAAGTTAAAATCAAAAGATTATCTCAACTTCATTTACGTCTGTCATTGGGGCAAGTCGCATATGAGCAGATCGAACTACCCTTTGGGCTTATCATACTAAGATTTCTGGGCTGAAATTTGGGAGTGTGTGAACGTGATAAAATGGGTACTAAAATGCATGTTTACGTTCGCTTCTAGGATGAGTTTCATTTGGTATAACTTATATATTGAATCACAATAAAATTCTAATTTTAATTAGAAATTCCAAACTACTTAATTGGATATTATATACTCATACCGAAATATATATATATATATATATATATATATATATATATATATATATATATATATATATATATATATATATATTTCATTTTGCATTAACCATGGAATGCTTTTGCTTGATGAGGGTTTTATGCAACTTCTCAGTTGACTTGGCCAGCCATAATGATAGATTATACAAAATGAAACACTTTCAGCAAAACAAAAAATGAATTGAACTACCTTACCTGCAAAGCTCGTGTCTTGGCGTTTCTTCAGCTCTTAAACGTCCTAATGAATCTGAATAGAATGTTCAATAAATAACTAAGAATAAAATTTAAAAAAATATACAGGTACAATACGGAGCTAAATGGTATACCAAAACTATCCAAAACAGAGTTTCATTTGCTTTGTATCAATTCAATTCAGTTCAGTGTCAATAAAGTATATGATCAGGCAACATCGAATCTTGCAAAAATTACATCCATATTCCAACCACAGATCTTTCAACCAATACCCTATCAAAAATGTGAATCTGCCCACCCTGTATGATATATTTAGACTATGTGCATACACTTTATACTTATATGTCACTTGCACACAACTCGAGCAAATGCTATTATACAATAGCTGCAATAAGCTGAGCCAGACATGTAATCCTATATACCATATCAGCATGCATATGTGCTAGCAGCAAATATGCTAGACAGCAAATGGGATTATCCTTAACTGCCAAAGACAAATAAATATAATAAAAATATACAAACAATGTTCGAATAAAATTATAAAAACAGCACAAGCGATGAATAGCGTACCTGTTCTGTGTTTCTGCTCTTGGCTACCGAAAAATTTCCGTCATGCGTTATTTCAAATGTAAGCTCAACAGGTGCGTCGGTTATCAGTAGTTGCTCTTCTCAGTGTCGCCGTCGCGTATTCTGCAGTCTGTACAGAGTAGAACTGCATCTTTATATATATATATAGGTGGTTGTGTCGCTAATCCAGGTAGCGAAGAGGTGCTGATTGACAGGGTGGGTGTGGAAGGGGGGGTGGGGGGGGGGGAAGAAGTCACTGACCTCATTTGGGTAAAATTTTGAGCCCCAAAAACTGAGTCATCAATATTTGAAACGCAATAGAATATATAAATAAAAATATTTATTAACATAGGCCTTGATCTGCATGGATATTGACAAATAACTGGGACTTACAGAGTGATGTTTGTGTGTAGAATATATAAATAAAATATTTAGAAATATAGGCCTTGATCTACATGGATGTTGACAACAAATGGGGCTTATCGAAGTTATGTTTGTGTGAATGTGTGCATACGTGTGTGCGTGTGTGTGTATTTGTGAGCTTGTTTGTGTGTATGTTGCAGGGGGTTGATGGTGGGGGGGGGGGGGGGTAAGGGTGATAACAGCTGTGAGCTAAAGCAATGTGGTAAGTATGTTAGGTGTTGAGTACGGGTCTCCTGGTTGTCACATGTTATGTTCTGGTAGCATTTGCATCGTATCTTGCACTAGTATGCTGATGGTACCAAAAGTGAATACTTGCTAATTAAGGAGTCTAAACGTGTTGGTTTCACCTATATACTGTATGTATGAGGCATTCCCTTTCGACGCTTCGTTAATGTCCCGTAATGCACAAGGCTTAAGCCTAGGTCCCAACTACGTTTTGGACGCACGGTTTTTACATGTAGGTTCCTTGCGTCCGGCTAGGACGTAGCTAGATCGCAGGGAAGAAATCAAGTACATTGGTAAAAAATGTTTCTACGTGCTGTTTGCGTCCTCCAAAAGTCACACGATGGACGTGCTCCTCACGCACGAACTCCCACGTTTTCCCCAATTTTTTTTGGCCCTAGACCACTTAGCAGCCCGTACGTTCGGTTGGGACCTAGGCTTTACGCGTCAATGTGAGCTTTGGAGTTTGAATGTCAACATATTCAAAGTGGCAGAAGATGTAACCGCGGCAGGCCTATCGGCCCAGACACGTGTTTTTTTATACGTGTGTTTTATAAATATAACCATGCTTGCAGTGTGCACATTGCTATATGCGACTCATGTGATTTTGCGTGACGCGGGCTCAGGTGAGTAGCTATAGGACATAGAAGTATTACGTAAGAAACGGATCATCACTGAGTGCCATCCTCTCTCAACAGGTTGGCTGTCATGGGGCGACATGCCCGTCGAAAGTGTGCCATTCGTGTACTTCCACTATATTTTTGATCAGCCAATTCTTTTATGTTATCCATCCATGTTGTTCTTGGTCTTCCTTTCCAACGTTTCCCATTGAACTTTCCTGTCAATAACAGCCGCTGCAAATTATATTTTCTTATAATGTGGCTAAATAAGTTAATTTTCTTTTCTTGATGGTAAATTTTCTGTTCTTGATGGTGTTCCACATTGAAACGGTAGTGACGTTTTAATAATTGAAATGCATGATGAAATCCAGTCGTTATTAGCTGAGTGATTTTTTTCGAGGTTACTGGTGGTTCGATATCCTCAACATTTCCTTAAATCTATTTATTTATTTATTTATTTATTTATTTATTTTTAAATCCTGTGACCGGATCTTTCTCTGAATATTCAAAATGTGTGATCAAAAAAGTGTGTGAGTGTCCGTGCGCGTGTGTTGGAAGTTGATCATCCTGTTTGTAGCTAGACTATCCTCATATGCCTCCTTAGACTGTATCCACACACTCAACCTAATTATACAGCGTACTTGGCCAGACAGTCTGGGTCGGTCATGCTGACCTTGAGCAGGGGCGTAACCAGGCATACGCACGGATGCACTGTGCGTACAATTTTTTGAGCCAACCATGATATTATTCTCCATAAATTCAGTGTAATTTTCACGGAATATAATTGTACCTGGGAATTTTCAAAATCTGTGCGTACAATTTTAAAAGGTCTGGTTACGCCCCTGTTGAGGGCTTGACTTTGTTGTACCCCGGAGATAACGAAGAGGTCCTCTGTGACCAGTTTAACGAAACTGAGGGTCCATGTGACAGAAAGTCTCCCTCCATTTAGTTATAATGGTTAGGGTTAGCCTGACCCAAGTCCCGGTGTCAAAATCTAGGGGGAGGGTTACCTGTAAAAATGAATGGGAAGCGAACTCTCTTTTTGTCCATCAGAGCCAAATAAAAAAAATAATAATAATTATATAAGGTCCGTACGTATTCTGACCCCCCCCCCCCTTCCCCCCAAATCAAAACCCTTGGTTGTCCAGAGCACTTTTCACATATGAACTATTTATTATCTAATCAACAGGTGTTAAGTCACAGGGCTCACCTGATGATACCTACAGACCATGGGCTCATTTACGACGAAACTATCATTCTACATAGATCGATCCAACTCCACGGGGACTTTTGCTGATTGCAAACAGGTTAACATTAACTCGTCTCCTCTTGCAGTTTATTAGACTACAGAAAAGCTGATGAATATACGAGCACGTTGGAAAAAAGAGGAAGTGCGGTTATCTGTTAATCTGATTCCCCAGGTTGGATCGATCTACGTAAACCGATAGTTACATTGGGAATGAGCCCTATATGTTCAGAGGTAAGACAGCCCAGATGGTTGACCGCCTAATAAATTTATATCTAAATCCATGTACTATTTACGTGACAGTAACATAGCCACTGACCGACTTTATTTTTAAGATATCATTTTTAAGATATTAAAATATCAATGTACTTGCATGCCCCCCCCCAACACACACACACACTAACACCAAACACACACGCACATGTAATTCGTTTAAAGTTTTCTGTAGATTTAATATAAATAAATTCCTGCAATTATAACGTCTTATTATAGCTATGCATATTCATCCAACTCTTCAGGGGATACAAGATAGTGTAATGATAATAAATGTGCACAGACCATTTTTGAGCAAAACCTACGGCAGTTTCTGACCTGAGCAAATTACCCAAAACATGTTCCTTTTTGTTTATTTAGCCTAAAAAATTTTTTTCTGAAACGCACTTCCTAGAGAGAATTTTCACCAAATTCAATAAAAGAAAAACGTTAATCCTTAAAACCAAGATATATGTTCTATTCTGTTCTTTATTTATTTCTCTATCTATTTATTTATTTATTTATTTATTTATTTTAAGACCAAAGTGGGATTTTCGCATTTTGTATTGACATAACTTCAGAATAACAAAAACTTTCCAACTTTACTGCAATGCTTTGATGTCTGTAAGATGGTTTCGAGATTATTTTCGCTAGGTTGTCATTCAATTTAGAATTGCGTTGGAAAGAATTATTATCGACAATTTCCTATTTCATCAACATTAGCAGATCGAGTGGAAAAAAATATAAGGTGATTATTGGATTATCCCGTGGAATTGTCAAAAAAAAAGGGAGAAAGTAAAGAAAAAGAAGAGAAAAAGAAGCATATATTTTAACAATATATTTGCACGACAGTGGTTTGTATAAGGTAACATTTTAATGCAAAAAAAAGAAAAAGGAAAAATACATTGTCGTTTGTATCTGGAATGTTTAATGAGATCATTCTATTTACAACTTGATTTGGTATAAATTGGTGTCCTGATCAACAATTTTAGAGTCACGACAAAATTAACATAAACATAATCAACTATTTGTTTGTTTAAATGACCGAACCTGAATATTTCGTCGCCTTCGGTTCTCTTATTGTCTTTAGATAGTCTCTGATGACCTAATAAAGGGCCGTTTCAGCCTTTGTCAGATAAGATTCCAATCCCAGAGTAACAATAGTCATTTTCAAGGCAACGGCGCATCTAAACGCGTCAGGCAAACTCATCAGATATTAGGGCTACAGGTATAACAGTGATTCTACCTTGAGACGCTGTAATGTTGGAATGGCCGTTACTTTCAAGTGTGCGGCTCATCCCTCAAAAAGTGACTCAATGAGTCAAGACAGTGGCGCATATTACATGCCGTGTAATATTTCTTTGCCGCGTAATAAGTAAGCCTGACTTGCCGCATTATTTTTGATGTTTTATATTACGGTACCCTCCATTGTGACCAGTTATCAATAATATTTAAAACTGATGTGAAATAGTTGCCCAAATATTACCCACTATGTACAGCTGTAGGCAATGCCAGAATTCCATATCTTTTTTGTTTTTTCAAAATCGGACGAAGAACCCCTTAAACACTACAGTCAGTCTGAGAGAGACTCTGATTTCTTGAATACACGGGACAAATGTCGATTGATAACCTCAAGCAGTTTTGAAACATGATCATCATGGCCGCGTGGAAGTTACAGTCAGGAGCAAAATGCCGTACCACAGCAAATTATATGCACGATTTAAAACTATTTCTGAAATTAAATCCACCGTAAAGAAAATGACAATCAACCACAAAGCGCTCGAAATTGAGCCACAAGCTTAAGGCATCAGATCGTTGCCAGCCAAGCAAAATCCCAACTATGCGCATTTTCTCTTAAAGCATACAGGTAGCGTTCAAAACTTGGCGTACATGTATATAAACTCTTCAGGGGTAAATAAATTGTGTGATTAAATATACCGTGGCACAATGGCCGTTATTACACTTTCAAGGGCATAAATTATCCATGGATATCAAAATCTTGCTACCTGCGTCAAAAACAAAGCTCAAAATTACCTACATCTTGGGTTTAATCTCGAACATTCTATACACGAGGTATAGACTGCCTTGAGAGATTTGCACAGTTGCCAGTGTGACAGGAACGGTAGTCCTGGGTAAATAATAAGTGTTTTGTTAGCGAATGTCGTCTTTCAGAGCTTTAAAAGGTATTTTGAAAAACGTTCAAATTGTCATACTTTGTTAGGGCGCTGTTCCCTAATGACGAATGCCAATACTGAAGAATCAAAATACTACATGTAGAATCGATGGTGCCGATTGCCTCAAGAAACAGGAAAGCCGATAATGTTCATCTTTCCACTACATGGTTTTCAAAAATATATATATACAAGCACACTTGCACACGCGTGCGTAGTAGGTTGTGGTTGGTTCTGGTTTTCATTCCCTGACCATGTGATGGTTTTCTATACCAAGTTTTGGTTTTCATTTGTCGCACGCTTGAAGCACTTGCCTATTTTGTATACCATTTTGCTGTTCCCTTTTGACTTTCAAGAAAGTAGACTGAATTAGTTATTTAGGACGCCAATATACACACTGAGATAGGCTGCTGCATTCAAAAAGTGTCGAGCGCCTTTAGAGGCAGAGGGACAGTGATATTTCTCATAAAAGTAGAAACCATGAATATGTTATTGGGGCCTCCATCCACGTACAAACTGCATCAGTTTCCGCGCGTGAAAAGGCTTCATGTCAAACTCGTCCTGCAGTATGTCTTCCTCCAATGCCGCCAGAAGGGTCCCGTCAATATCGTTATCTCTGAACGCAGGAATATATTGGTCCATTTTCAACACCTTCAGACAACTGGCGACTTCGTCTATTGAAAGGGAAGTGACGTCATGCGGAATTTCCGCGAAGCTTTGGTAGACCGGGTCGGAAGAGCTTTCGTCTGTATTCGGCATATATGGAAATGGAATTTCACAATAAAATTCTAACAATGACAATGAAGGTAAACCGCATCTTCAAACTAAATGTTTTTTCTTTTGCCATCAAGACGTTTCATATGACTTAGGCCTATTTTTTGATGAGGGATCTGAACGTTAACGTAGAAAATACTGAAAGCCTCTTCAAGAACGTTTAACTTTTTATCACTGAGAGACAAGACAAATACAATTTATTCCAACGTAATTATAATAGGTTAAAAATTCTTACATTTCACGGTAAGCCAAGATGCTAGACATTTTGTTAAAATAAGTCCGCCTATTCCTAATGAATGACAGGAAATTAAAATATCTAGATTCATTATAAGGGCTATTAGCCAATATCTGATTTTAAAGCATTAATTCATGAACAAACAGTAACCAACAACATCAACAATAATATTATAATAATTAAAATGATTTTTTCCTCACCTTTGAACGGTTGTGAGTCCGATCTCTTCAACTCGACCACCGGCGGTTTAGTTGGCAGGTCAACCACGGGGGGAGTTGAGTTCGAGACGGGGGGCTGGAAAGGCTTCACCGTCCCGCGGGGGATGTCGTTCACATAGGGTGGCCCCTCCGAGAGTTCCTCGTACACCCGATCTTCGCGCGTGGGAGTGGGTCCGTATCGAGGGTTCGTCTCCTCAACCGTGCTGACACTGCTTTGCTTTGAAACTGGCGGTGTCGACGGTTTTTGCGCGGGTTTCGGCGATACCAGAGGTTTGTTTTTGGTCGGCTTTAATCCTCCTGCCAGTATGGCAGCCAGTTCGGCCGCTAGCCCTTTTTTCACTTCGGTCTTTTCCGTGGAACTCTCGGCTGTTTTCGTGGGACTCTTCTGCCCGCCGTCTGACGTCGGAATAGGCGGAGGCTTCCGGTGGTGTCGCTGCTCGGGTAATTCCGGGGGCGGTTCTTCGTCCTCGGCTTCTTTTCTTTCTCTGGCCTCAATTTCTTCCACCGATTCGTACACGTTAACTGGAATCTCGACGTTGTTTTGAGGCCGTTTTGATCGCTGTATGTGGCGGACTACATTCTCTGGCGGACTGATAAGTGTGTACCCTTTATCCGTATCCGGTCCGGTTTGTTTGTAGTTGAGTTTGACGTAGTGGCGCGGCTCTATGTAATCGTACAGCTTGTCGTCGCCCCTTCCCTTCACGGCACCTCTTTGAAATTCGCGATCCTCGTACATGGTTATGTCTGAAAATAAATAAATAATATTTTAATATTATTAAAATAAAATCTCTTCGTGTTTCAGTCTAACATTTTCTCTCTATACTTGTGTTATTGTGTCTATCCCTTCCTTCTTTCCTTCCTTCCCCCCTTTCCTTTCTCTGTCTCTTCCTCTCGCGCACACGAACACACGGACATATTTGTATCCTTCCGCCATGACGTCACCTTACCTATATTGCCCTCCACCTGACTGAAGTCGATACCCTTCAGCGCGCGCGTGTACGCCGCCTGGAGGTTGTGCCATAGGTCAAGGTCACCGTTGGCCATGCCCGTCGCCACACAAATGGAAATGTTGACGTAGAGAGGGATGACGATGATCTTCGAGTGGATAACACCTGGTAATGTACAGAATGTAATATTTATTTATTTATTTATTTATTTATTTATTTATTTATTTATGTAATCTTACATGATAACAAGAAAAGCACTCCGAGAGCGCAGACGTCCGCCAAGGCGATTTTTTATTATTATTTATTATTGATTGATTATTGATCCGGATCACACCAAAAAATATCATCACTTCCTTGGCCCACTTCTGACAGTTCTTGAAAATTTCATCAAAATCGGTCCAAAACTTTTTGAGTTATGTTGATGACACACAAACAAACAAACAGACAAACAGGGGTGAAAACATAACCTCCTTGGCGGAGGTAACAATAATAGGAAAATATTATTCAGCTAAAAGATATGTGAAATATAGGCCTACATCAAAATTGCTTTCTGTTGGAGGTGTAGATTTATTTATTTATTTATTTATTTATTTATTTATTTATTTATTTATTTGATTATTCATTTATTTACAACATATATTTGCAATAATATCCACTCATTGCTAAGATAAAATAAAAATGAAAATGAATAAAATCTGCTTGCGAGTAACTTACGCTACCTGCTAGCTGTGTAGTTATTGAATTTTTATTTTTTTATAATAATAATAATTATAATTATTATTTATTTATCTATTTTTTTTAAATAAAGCATATTGTATTGATAACGTTCCAAAAAGGTTTAAAGCACTGTGAGACTTTAAAGACTTACTTCCATTTATTGTATTAGCTTTGAAATATTTCTCGGTAAAGAATTCTCGAACTTCGAAGACTCCAAAACTGTCTGTTGATTTTGTTGTGGAGTCGATCTGAAAGTCTATTCCGGCCATTTCGGGTGCAAATCTCACTTTTACTGGCATCCGGCAACATTCTACTATGTCGCGGAAAAAGCGGCTTTTTCCGACAGCTGAAAAATAAAACATGATAAATAACATGTTGCAAATATAAATATATCCAATAATACACGCTTAGACAAACGTTTTTATACCCCATACCAAACTGTTCATTCACCTGTGGATGAACCTGTTTCATTAATAAGAATAAACNTTTGCATCCTTTCGCCATGACGTCACCTTACCTATATTTCCCTCCACCTGACTGAAGTCGATACCCTTCAGCGCGCGCGTGTACGCCGCCTGGAGGTTGTGCCATAGGTCAAGGTCACCGTTGGCCATGCCCGTCGCCACACAAATGGAAATATTGACGTAGAGAGGGATGACGATAATCTTCGAGTGGATAACACCTGGTAATGTACAGGACGTAATATTTATTTATTTATTTATTTATTTATTTATTTATGTAATCTTACATGATTACAAGAAAAGCTCTCCGAGAGCGCAGACCTCCGCCAAGGCAGCGATTTTTGATTATTATTGATTATTGATTGATTATTGATCCGGATCACCATCAAAAACTTATCATCTCTTCCTTGGCACACTTCTGACAGTTCCTGAAAATTTCATCAAAATCGGTCCATAACTTTATGAGTTATGTTGATGACAAACAAACAAACAAACAAACAAACAAACAAACAGACGAACAGGGGTGAAAACATAACCTCCTTGGCGGAGGTAACAATAATAAGAAAATAGTATTCAGCTAAGACATATGTGAAATATACATCAAAATTGCTTTCTGTTGGAGGTGTAGATTTACATATTTATTCATTTGTTTGATTATTTATTTATTTATTTACAGCATATATTTGCAATAATTTCCACTCATTTCTAAGATAAAAAAAATGAAAATGAATAAAATCTGCTTGCGAGTAACTTGCGCTACCTGCTAGCTGTGTAGTTATCGTATTTTTACTTTTGAATTTTGGATAAAGCATATCATATTGATAACGTTCCAAAAAGGTTTAAGGCATTGTGAGACTTTAAAGACTTACTTCCATTTATTGTATTAGCTTTGAAATATTTCTCGGTAAAGAATTCTCGTACTTCGAAGACTCCAAAACTGTCTGTTGATTTTGTTGTGGAGTCGATCTGAAAGTCTATTCCGGCCATTTCGGGTGCAAATCTCACTTTTACTGGCATCCGGCAACATTCTACTATGTCGCGGAAAAAGCGGCTTTTTCCGACAGCTGAAATATAAAACATGATAAACATCTGTTGCAAATATAAATATATCCAATCATACACGTTTAGACAAACGTTTTTATACCCCATACCAAACTGTTCATTCACTTGTAGATGAACCTGTTTCATTAATAAGAATAAATTAAGCGAAAACACAGTAAAACTCACGTTTCCCTTGGTCGTTGAGTACCTCAAATTTGAGTGGGAAATCACACGGGATGCTCAAGTAGCGCCCTCTAGAGTCCGTAGCAATTACACGGCGCTGGGTCGAGATTGTGTGTATGCGCAGTATCTGGAAAAGCAAACAAAAAACAAAAATTAGCTTAGGAATTTCTGACAGAATTTCTTCTGTGAGTATTGTAAAACTATTATGAGGTAAAACTGATTTCTACACAATTTAATTTTCTTGGTAATCACGACATTTTGTGAGATCTACTCACACAGGTCATGCGCGCCTCCTCTTTGAGTAGGGGCCTACCATCTACCAGGGCTGTGGATATTATTGTGGACATTTTTGGCTGACATCAGACCAGAGAGACTGTCTGTTTATCTAGAGACATATCTGTGAATAACTGTGGAAAATCAATCTGTCGCCCTGGTAGAGGGAACTCTTTGAGAGCATTCCGAACAAGTTGATCCCCGGCACTCGGAACTACTCGGATGTCTCCGCACTCGACAATAACCTCGGACGTAATACGGAGGCAGCCATATTTGATTGTTGATTGTTGGGAAGGAACTACTTTCAACCTCGCGCTAATTTAAACCTAATTCTTTCAACGCCTGTATCTATTGATCCTTAGTGCATTGTTTGGCAAAATGTAAAGCATCATAAAAATCAGGGATATTGACAGCCATCTTTATGAGCGTACTGATCGATTGAGTGAGAAGGCGGACAAAATGCATGGATTTGGTGCATATTTCTCCGCCTATCACATCCGAGGTAAGTATGGAGCTTGTGGAATGAGCCGAGGATTGCCGATTGGATCCACTGACTAACAGATCCCTGAATCAAATATGGCCGACCCACTTGAAAGCTTGCTGCATGATCCCCCAAATAGACACTGAATAGATTGCCCGCGGGGGCTGCGCAACAAGCATTCAAGTGGGGTGGCCATATTTGTTCCGCGGGTCTTTTAGTCCGCGGATCAACTTTGGTTGTGAGTGCCGCCTTTCTCGCCATTCTTTCACTAGCAGTCCAGATTTATCGTCTTATATGTGACACATATAAGTTATATCTATACCAAGTACAAAATAATAAACACAGAATTGGCGAACTTATTGTTAAAATAAAGTGACTAGCGTTATTCAAGCAACTTTACTATCACAATCATGTCACCATCACGTCATCACAACTAGCACAATGATGTTTAACCGTTAATATCGTTTATATTATGACCTAAGGTCAAAATGATTACAAAATATTTTGAACAGTGATATTCCAAATCATGAATCGTTTGTAAGACAAATCTTCACAATAGGAATTTGAAAACAAAAAAAAATTGACATCTGCTCAGCAAAAAACTGAAAAAGCCGACTTATGGGAACTTAATGCTTAAACTACATGCATTACAATCAATGTATCAATGTATCATTATTATTTTTGGATGGTTTTAGTTATGAAATGAATTAGGGGCCAGAATCCTATATATAATATAATATAATATAATATAATATAATATAATATAATATATAAAACTAGCTGGTACCCGTCACATCAATCATTGAACCCTGATAAGATAAGTATACACGGTTTAATAATTGAAAAAAAAAAAAGAAAAGAAAAAAAGTGGGACTGAATGGGAATCGCAACTACTTTATACTATGCTATGCTATGCTATGCTATACTATACTATACTATACTATACTATACCATACCATACCATACCATACCATACTATACTATACCATACAATGCCATGCCATGCCATGCCATACCATGCCATACCATGCCATGCCATACCTGATCAGCGGCAAATGTCTCGACCTCGGAGTTGCCATAGAAACCCTGCGTAACCATGATGATCTGGGGTAAGTTCTCCCTGTACCTGTCAATGAATTCCCGCATAGTCAGCTGTTCTGACGACCAGGCAATATCCCTGTAGGCGTCCATAATTGTTGACATTTTATAAGTCTGACATAGAAAAAAAAAAAAAAAGAAAGATCAATATCAAAACAATATACATATCTATTGTTGATAAAAATTGAAATTCCTTTTGTGTGCATTATATATATATATATATATAAGCTGGCGTTCCAATGGAATTCGAAATATTTGTGTGTGTAGTTCAAAATATAAGTTGATGTTTGTGTGTTGTTTTATTATTATTAAACATCATACAGGAGTGGATCCAATGATATTTTCTGACAGTATTCCAAATTATCTTTGTTGATCCATCCTCCATTTTTGATGGTCTTCCGAGAGAAAAAAAATCCGTCAATGTAAACTTTAAAATCTAACTAAAACTAACCCCCCCCCCCCCCGACATACCCTGTATACTATATACACAAACTATCCCACTCAAAGTCATACTGGTATCTCACAACACGTGACATAAAACGCGACATGCGACATCTGGTGTCGATCAGGGCCCCGTATCTCGAAAGCATCGCGCATTGCGCCCGTGCGCAAGCGTCTCGATTCCATAACTCGCCCATAATCGTCCCATATAATACATTGCAGCCTCTATTTGATATAGCGATTCGCAATACGCGATGCTTTCGAGATACGGGGCCCAGAAACTACAGACGATTACACAAAACATATCCACAATATTCCACCTTGTTAATCGCTTATGTATAAATATTAGAAAATTCATATTTCATATAAAATACAAAGTCAAACTTCAACAACAAAAAAGAAAAAAAAAACAATAAATAAAGAATAGAGAAAGAATACAGAAATATGAAAAACGAAAGCCACATCAAATCAAAATACCATATAAATGATACACTCCAGATAAAGGAATTCTTTAAAATCACACGTGTGGTTAGTAGGTTATTTAATACGTTCAGGCGCTTTACAGTACTCTTCTAAAACTTTGTTTATAAAGCATCCTACGACCCTAATCACTATGGTTTAACCTTTTTAAAACTAAATTAACAAATAAATTATCCAAAAAAAGTTGACGTACCGTATATTTTAAAGGTGCACAGTGTAGGATTTTCCCGCAAAAAACTCATACTTGACTAAGTATCTTTTGGTAAACGGTATCCTACTCCTACTAACCAACTCTTATCCTCCTTTTCTGACACTCTTCATTACACAAAATTTTTAAAAGAAGTTCTTAACCCATGCTAAAGCAGGTGGAGGTCCGCATTCTGTTTGTTGACGGTGGCTGCCCAAAGGAAGGATTTGGATGGTCCGAATTGGTCCGTGTCGGGGTGGAGGTCCGCACTCTGTTTGTTGGCGGTGGCTGCCCAAAGGAAGGATTTGGATGGTCCGAATTGATCCGTGGCGGGGTGGAGGTCCGCACTCTGTTTGTTGGCGGTGGCTGCACAAAGGAATGATGAGGATGGTCCGAATTGGTCTGTGGCGGAGTGGAGGTCCGCATTCTGTTTGTTGGCGGTGGCTGCACAAAGGAATGATTAGGATGGTCCGAATTGGTCCGTGGCGGAGTGGAGGTCCGCATTCTGTTTGTTGGCGGTGGCTGCACAAAGGAATGATTAGGATGGTCCGAATTGGTCCGTGGCGGAGTGGAGGTCCGCATTCTGTTTGTTGGCGGTGGCTGCACAAAGGAATGATTAGGATGGTCCGAATTGGTCCGTGGCGG